ACAGACACATGCACACGTACACGCACACACACACACACGCACACACATACACACACACACACACACACACACACACACACACACACACACACACATACACATACACATACACACGCACAGATGGACGCACACATACATGCACGCATACGAACACGCTCGTGTACGCGTGTGCACGGACACGCACGTACACGCACACACATGCGCGCGCGACACACTGCGACAAGCGACAAGCGATAAGCGAGTCATTCACCCGTTTTTAACGTCGCTTTAAGATTCACTTCCTGATTGTATATATTGCTAGCTAGACAGTGAATCGTGTCTTAGTGCTGCTCCGTGATCATGGGTGTAAGTGTCACGGGTTCGCTGCTTGGCTGTGCCGTCTTCACCATCGCTGCCGTACGTGTGTTCACAGCTCACGTCTTTACGTCGTCCTGCGTCGGTATTTTATGGAGAGTAGTGGCAGGTAGGTAGAGGTGCGCATTTTCATATGCGCGTGGCTGCGTGCGTGCGTATATGCGCGTGGCTATGTACGTGCGTGTATTCGCGTCGTAGCTGTGTGGGCGCGTGTATGCGCGTGGCTGTGTGCGTGCGTGTATGCGCGTGGCGGTGTGCGTGCGTGTATGCGCGTGGCTGTGTGCGTGCGTGTATGCGCGGGTCTGTGTGCGTGCGTGTATGCGCATAGCGGTGCGTGTGCGTGCGTGTATGTGCGTGGCTATGTACGTGCGTGTATGCGCGTGGCGATGTGCGCGCGTGTATGCGCGTGGCGGTATGCGTGCGTGTATTCACGTGGCTGCGTACGTGCGTGTATGCGCGTGGCTGTGTACGCGCGTGTATGCGCGGGTCTGTGTGCGTACGTGTATTCGCGTAGCTGTGTACGTGCGTGTATGCGCGTGGCTGTGTGCGTGTGTGTAGGCGCGTAGCTATGTGCGTGCGTGTATGCGCGTGGCTGTGTGCGTGTGTGTATGCGTGTGGCTGTGTGCGCGCGTGTATGCGCGTGACTGTGTGCGTGCGTGTATGCGCGTGACTATGTGCGTGCGTGTATGCGCGTGACTGTGTACGCGCGTGTATGCGCGTGGCTGTGTGCGTGCGTGTAGGCGCGTAGCTATGTGCGTGCGTGTATGCGCGTGACTGTGTACGCGCGTGTATGCGCGTGGCTGTGTGCGTACGTGTATGCGCGTGGTTACGCGCGTGCGTGTATATGCGAGTGGCTGTGCGTGGGTGTATGCGCATAGCGGTGTGTGTGCGTGCGTGTATGCGCCTGTCTATATGTGCGTTACTATAAACTGATATTTTCCACTGAAATGGTTACTGCCGACTTATTTATCTTTGAAAACCAATATCGTTGACAATGATAGTTGACATTGCCATCAAAACAACAGTACACGTGTATGCTCGCAGGTCATATCGGGGTAACCAGCCTCGTTCTTGCCTACGTTACGTGGGACCTCAGCCGTACCTGGCCTATCTCTACGGCCCTCTCTCTCGGCGACATCGCCAAGTTTTACTTGGTCAGTAAATTTCAATGGTTCATCACGAAAGGGAACTGGAAACGGATGCAATACACCGTCAGACACATGCGGGAAACCCAGGTAAGATGAGTCCGTCGTCGTATTCGTCGTCGTCGTTGTTGTTGTTTATTGCCGATGTCGTCGCCGTTGTTGTTGTTTATTGTCGTTGTCGTCGTCGTTGTTGTTGTTTATTGCCGATGTCGTCGCCGTTGTTGTTGTTTATTGTCGTTGTCGTCGTCGTTGTACTAGATATTGTTGCTGCTGCTCTTGTTAATTCTTTCCGCGGGAAAACTCTTCTTACTGTATTTAAAGATGTGGGTAATAGTTATAAACTAACAGTTTTTTTACTACTAGTACACAAATAGGCCCTACCTAGCTCGTGTGTGCGGGAATAATTCATGCTTGTATGCATAACTCGTGCGTGCGGGCATAACTCGTGCTTCGCTGGCAGCTTCACAACAACTATAGTGTCCATGCAGTTTAGTTGATGACTGATCGGACTATGTGTAGGAACGGTTTCTCATGGCTAAGCTCAATGAGAATGCTGACACAGAGTACGGTAGGCGATACAAGTTCGACCAGATCAAAAGCAGAGAGGACTACGTGCGACTACTACCCCTGACCACCTATGAAGACTACAAGGTGATTATATTTACATTTACACACACACACACACACACACACACACACACACACACACACACACACACACACACACACACACACACGCACATACACACACACACACACACAGCACACACACACACACACACACACACAACACCATACACACTCACACGCAACACACACACACACATACATACATACACACACACGCACACAAACGCACACGCGCCGCACACACACACACACACACACAGCACACACACACACACACAGACCTCAACGCACCACGACACAGCAGAGCAGAGAGCAGAGAGAGAGAGAGAGCGAGAGAGAGAGAGACGCCAGTACACAGTTAATCATTTATTGTATGATTAATAATCAGTGCTGTAGTAGAGTATATAGTCAGAGTATATATATATATATATATATAATAGCTGCGCATCTCCACTGTGTATATGTGTGTATGTAGGATTACATTGACCGATAGCCGATGGGCAAGAGAATGTTCTAAATGAAGGGACGGCCGCTATACCTGACTCTGACATCGGGCACGACAGCGCGTCTAAATACATACCGTCGCCTCTTCGGCAGCCTCCAAGTACTCTACTGTAAGGTATACCTCGTCCAAGACACGACACAGTGTGTGTGTGTGTGTGTTGTGTGTGTGTGTGTGTGTTGTGTGTGTGTGTTGCGCGGCGCGCGCGTTGCGTGTGCGATGTCGTGTGTGCGTGTGTGCGTGCGTGTGTGCGTGTGCGTGTGTATCTGCCGTTGTTTGTGCGTGCGTGTGTGTGCGCGTGTGTGAGTGGGACAAAGATAGGGAGAGAGAGAGAAAGCGAAACAGAGTACAGAACATAGACAGAGTACAGAGCGAGAGAAAGAGAGAACAGAGTGAAACAGAAAGAGAGAGAGAGAGAGAGAGAGAGAGAGAGAGAGAGAGAGAGAGAGAGAGAGAGAGAGAGAGAGAGAGAGAGAGAGAGAGTAGGATTTTTTTTCAAACTGCTGATACGAGTTTCAAATGGGCACAGTTCCTTCTCGTGGCGGGCAAGGCGGTGCGCGACCTGCTGTGCAAGACCCCGTCGCTTCAACGACACGTCGTCTTCTCCTACAAGACGACTTACACCTACTCACCCGCCGGCATCCCCATTAGTCAAGTTACGGACGTTCCGCTAAAGACCAATTACCAAGGTGGGTGTCCATGTTGTAGCATGCAGCTTTGCACACAGCCGGTCGAACCAGGTTTTGTTACCACATACCCTCTACTTCGACAGAGTGAATTCCAGAAAATTAGCCACAATGATTAGATAGTCGAATAATAGGAGGAATTATCGGCCGTGATAATCATTTGTTATTTTTTTAAACTTTTTCAATAAATGAAAAATCATATACGTAATACAAAGAGCAGCAAATAATACGCAATTTGTTTTGCTAATAATAATAATAATAATAATAAAAATAAAAAATAATAAAATAATAATAATAATAATAAACTAAGACGAAAATGGTACCAGTGGTGGTTGAAGCCCTTGAAGAATGGTTTTGAGAAGAACCTTAAGGAACTCCCTGGCCACCACACTGCCCAAGAATTGCAGAAAATCGCACTACTGGGAACAACACACGTCCTGCGAAAAATTCTGGATTGAATCCCTATGTCCCAGGTTGGGACACGGTCAACCTAGAAGCCACCGACTAATGCCGTGAACCACTTTGGAAATAATAATAATAATACCGTGCGGTGTATGTATTATTATTTGACCTAACTTATTTGACATGCGTGCAGTTGTAGCCAGTGTAAACAGGTGTGTTGTTTACGTGCATTCGCTTCCGGTTTACAGGAGATGTGTGTTGTTTCTTATTATTCGTAGCCTCGCTATACAAGTGATGCGAGTTGTTTAAGTACATTCGCAGTATGTGTAAAGGTGACTTGAGATGTTTATATGCATTTGTAGAGTGGGCACGGGTGACCCTTACGACTCCTCCATGCGCTCGAGACATATCCACGGACCAGGAGATAATCTACATTCACCTTCTCTTCGCACTCCGTGATCGCTATCTATGTAAGCAGTTAAAGGATTTATTTCGAAATTATTGCTCAGAAACGCACAAACTATATCTGAGAAAAAAAAGCAAGCTAAGCTGAATCTGCCTAACATTCGATGTATGCATGATTTATATGGATATAACGTCTCTGTCCTTTGTTAGTTATATCAATCCTATACTAATACCAATTGTCCTAGATCAACTTGCAAATAGCTACACTAACCCCTTCACGCTGTCGTCACGATCCGTGTTCATTTTTATGAACTCGTGTACATGAAATTGTCTCCTTCATGTTCAATGAGGGGAAAAATTCGGACATTTTGTGCAATTAATTTCATAAGACACTTTTCACGCAAACCGTTCCGTCATAATAAACTGGATTCGTTGTCCAAAACTACCACGAGGTTAGGATAAAACTTAAGGAGAGTATTACGATACTACAGTCACGACGAAGTTATTCACTAACGATATTTCTGACAACAGTTTAGTACATAAGGCTATATATACGACTAATCATGAAACGTCTCATCACCTTGACAACGCGCCCACCATCATGCATTCCTGTTAGTAGCAGTTGGCTCTAATGTCTTCGTCGCTAATTAATTGAATAATTAGACTCAATCGACGCCGTGTTCGCCAGCACGGTCTACTACGCATTCGTCTTGCTCGAGCAGCGCTGGATGGAGCTGGTAGAGGACATACGCCTCGGCAAGGTCAACCCGACCTTGAACATCGAGAAGCATGTGAGGCACGCATTAAACGAGGTAAAGACCCGAGATAGAGTGGTTCATTAGAGCATTCTCTTTACTCCTATCTTCCTCGCATTCCCCCTACCTCGCTCTCTCTCCTACCTCTCATCTATCCGTTTTTCTTTCCCATCTCATCCATGGGCGCTATCTCTCTATCTCTATATCGCGTGCTCTTTCTGTCTCTCTCTCTCTCTCTCTCTCTCTCTCTCTCTCTCTCTAACTCGCTCGCACTGTCACACCCCTCGCTAGCTCTTTCTTTTTAGCACTTGCTATCCGTCCTATTAAACACACTTTCTCACCATCACCATCTCTCAGTTTCCCTTCCTTTACTCCTCATCTTTCTACTAAGTGATAGTATGGCACATATGTCTAGCTGCACGGACAAAAATCCAACACTATTATTCATTAACATTCGGATGTTTTTATCAACGGTATAAGAAAAACAGTAAATGTTAAGACTAATGTTAAGACTAACTTTGTATCGGACAACACGCCCGTGGCTCCTATACAGACCATAGCCATAACCCTAACCCTATCTCTAACCATAGACATAGTCTAAATCAGAGAGCTATAACCAGAGCGCCCTAAGTACGTACATAGGTCAGATACGCGAACTTGTAGGCAATCGAGATAGTACGCCCGATGCGTACCGAGTAGTTCAACTTGAACGCGACCTCGCAAGTGCTAGGTGAGGGCGGCATACCCGCTGCTACACATCTCTGTGTTTAACCGCTGCCACCGCCTCCTCGCTTTTTCTCCCCGTTCGTATAGGAGCTGGAGCCGATGCCAGAGCGCGCCACGGAGTTGGCCAACGAATTCTACAAGGGCTTCGATGCCATCGTCTTGCGCATCTGGCCGCACTGTCACGTGATCAACGCAGCAACGGCCGGCTCGCTGGCCATGTTCACGCGCTCGCTACGGAGCAAGTACTGCCGCTACATTCCCGTATTCTCTCCTGTGTTTGCCTCGACCGAAGTATGCCTGGGTAAGGAACAGTAGCAGCAGTGACAGTATTAACAGCAGCAGTAGCACCAGTCACCACCGTCACCACCACCGCCACCACCACCGCATTGGTGAATTACATACAACATTTATGGTGATATTTAAGCTCTCTGTTAGGTCTAGATTGCACAATTATTTCATCATTTCCCCACAGTTTCTTTCCCAGTGGGCTACCAAATATTGTGCTTACATAACAAATTTGGGGTAGTACGTTACATCGTGTACACAGCGTACTTACTAAACAACGCCACTTGTCGACCTTCCATGCAAAAGAAGATGTCGATCTCTTCGCCCCTTATTGACAGCCTGATGAAACTACGGTTACCAAAATTATATGTTCAAACGCCATTACATAATTATTGTGAGGAAATTCATATAAAATTAGAAACATCTCAAAAATGCTATTAAAATGTTTTTTTTACATCCATGCAAAAATGTTCCTTGCACCACTTGCAAGGAATCCTATCCGGCAAATCAAGTTGCAAGAGAACTGTTATTGACGAATATTAGCCCATGGCCTATCCGCATTCGCACGATATCGCAGCCGGTCATATTGGGTCATGCTTACAGGCGTGAATCTGTGGCCTCTGGATGAAGTGCCGAACTTCTGTCTGACGCCGTCCTGCAGCTTTCACGAGTTCATACCAGAGGCGAACGCCGACGAGGATCAACCGAAAACACTGTTCTCTGACCAAGTGCGTAACATCGGCAGTAGATCATGATAAATGCAAAAATCCACGTAGTTTATTTACCATGATCGATTCCTGCCTTAAAGGGCATGCGTGTAAGCCGCCGGGGGCATTTCGTAGATAAAATGAAAGAGCAACTGTATTTTATTTGCCATCGTCTCTACAGAATAATGAATATCGCAATATTTTTAAAGCTGCGGGGTCGCCTCAAGCACGTATTCATTGCAATGTCATCTCCAATCCACCAGACTCATCTTACTCAGGCCAATTCTTATACCGCGTACATCGAAGTATAAATCGAATTAAACTGAGTCGAACTATTAGTAGAATAAACGATATATCTATGATACGTGATAGCCGACTCTACTGACAATTCACCAGGAGCACACGCGCGCTTAAAGAATTTGCTTTGAAATCTCTCATCAACTCACTCGGTGGCGTGGTATTCTCTCAGGTAAAGGTCGGGCAGACGTACGAGGTAGTCGCCACCAGTCTGAACCCTCTCTACCGCTACAGGACGGGAGATCTGGTTACCATACGCAGATTTTACGAGCAGGCACCCGTGTTTGAGTATCGCACGAGGTACAATCACGCGTTCCCAACGTTCGGACGAGTGTATAAATAATAAGAACTTTGTAATGATGCGCTGTAGGCGGCGGCAGCAGTAGTAGCAGCGGAAGCAGTAGTACCAGCAGCAGTAGAAACAGCAACAGCAACAACAACCACCACCACCACAACAACAACAACAGCAACAGCAACAACAGCAGCAGAATCAACAGCAATCGCAGCAGTAACAGTAATGGTAGTAATAGTAGCAGCAGCAGTAGTAGTAGTGGCAGTGGCAGCAGCATTAGCTGATTAGCAGCAGCAGTATCAGCAGCAGTAGCAGTAGGTCTAGCGGAATTCGAAGTAGCAGTATAGGGTACCAATTGTTGCAGTGGAGGGTGGTTGAGTACGAACCAGTAGTACATATAGTAGTGATGCCATTATTATTAATTCTACATCGCCTGTGATGTGGTATTGTTTGACTAGGACGTAGCGTGTTATAAAGGAAGGAGACGACATTTATATCACTGGTTTTCTGTTTCAAGGAAAGGGGCTCTATTCAACATTCGAGGTGAGAAAGTTACCGACGTAATTCTGACCACTGCCATTAAAAATTGCTCGAAAAAACATTGGAATGACAAGATGATCATCGATTTCGTCTGCTGTGATAGCCACCTAGTGGACAATCTGGGAGGTAATTTGGACATCAGTAATTACATTTTAAACTATCGATTCCTTTTCTCTGCTAACGCAGCCGCTAATCTATCACTGTGTTCAGTATATTTATCTAAGGTCTACAAATAACCCTCAGTCCCCCTTTCTTTCCTTAGCGCTTTGTTTTTGTCTTCCCTCAATTATTTTGAACATAACATATAGGCCTACTCTCTGTCCCATTCTTTCGATCTCTTTCTCTCTCTTGCTTTCGCTTTCGCTTTATTTCGGGTTCCTCTTCGTCGAGTCCAGGGCCGGCGCGAAAGCCAAATTAACACATTGTTCAGCGCCATTTTACACGCCCCAATAAAAACAGAATGTCGACGAAACAGCCTGCGCGCAAGGCCAGTGCCCACCGGCGCAGCGCGTGCGGGGCAGCTCTAGCGTAGAGCGTTTCCCCCTCGGTCAAACGGGGGGCTTCGGGTCCTCCCCAGAAAAGAATTAAAAAATGTAAAGACAGAGCCAGAATGTCCTTGTCTAGAACTTAAAAATACTTTGTTCAAAACTCTTAACAATATTTATATTATACTTCAGTATAGGCCTAATATTGCCAAATTTAACCTGTCAAACATTATAATGCGCTCGTGCACGTACACGTGCGGGCATGCGTGGCATGCGTGTGCAGGTACCAGTGTGTCATGAGTGCGTTGGTGCGTACGTGCGTGTGTGTACAGGTAACACGTGCGTCGCGTGCAATGCATGTGCACGTAGACGTGCCTGGCGTGTGTGCACGTAACACCATGCGTGCATTTGCCAATGCGTGGCGTGTGGTATGTCAAACGTGCGTGCATGCGTGCGTGTGTGCGTGCCGTGGGTGGCGTACGGTGCGTAAGCACCTGTGTGCTCGCTTGGCGTCCGTGACGTACACGTGCGGCGCCGGTGTGCAAGCTACCGTTTCTGCGTGCGTGTGCACTTACACGTGCGGTACATGTCGTACATGCGCTGCGCGTCGCGCTGTGCACGTAGCACGTGCGCGCCGCACTGCGTGCGTGCGTGCCGTGGAACGTACACGTGCGTTGCGGCCGCGCGTGTGCAACGTACCACGTCGGTGCCGCGCTGCGGCTGCTGAGTGCCGTGCGTGTTACACGTACACGTGCCGTGCTGTGCGTCGTGACGTACACGTGCGTGGCATCAGCGTGCGTCGCGTGCGCTGCAGTGCTCCGCAGCTACACTGTTGCGAATCGTAAATGGGTGAGGTGCGTGCTGCGTGTGTACGTACACCGTGGCGCCTCGCGTGCGTCGCGTGTGCCCTTGTATCGAACATATCACCGCATCTGCTTGTGCCAACCCTTAAAGCTGCGCATGTGCCGCAATGACGTCAATGTTATAAACATGAAAACACGACTGTCATGTAGTAGTATATATGCGTGTATACCATAAACTATATGTGATGTGTCAGATCAACTGTAATATGGCCTCGGGAGTGGCAATAAGTTGAGATCCGGCTGTGCATAACGAAAATGTGTGCTTTGAAAAAAATAATGATCGCGAAAAAATTTATTAGGTCCGCGCTTATGCGCCGACTTGCCAAGACCGGCTCCGCCGGCCCTGGCTAAGAGATGTAAGCATATATATATAATATATATATATTATATACGGATATATATATATATATATATATATATATACGGAGTACCCATGAACGCTCCTTGTAAGGTAGATATGTTCAGATAGTATTGATGTGATGTAAAGTCATGTGCTTACGTATAGGAGCTGAGTATGCAACTACCGGAACGCTGCCCTGTTATTACGTATTCCTGAATTCGCTGATGGAATGATCCTCACTGACCAGGAAACCGCAAGGTGAGTGATAATCTATTAGCGATGCGCTTGCTGCCTGACTGTATATCTAATCACATTTATATATGTTATACATTATATAATGAGTGAATAATATAGAGATATTTATATTATACACTCTATATATCATACAATCTTTACAATTTCTCCTATGATGTCTATATTATTACGTACCACTCACTCCTGATTATATAGTGTCTGATCAGTGTCTATATCAGTGTTTGCCTGCCCCCACGTGCCATGGTAACTGACATCGTCACTACTACCGTTGCAGTTTAACGACGAACTGATGGCTGTATGTCCCATGTACTGTGACAAACAAGAGAAAGGTAGTATGGCGCCAGCTATCGTCAACGTCGTCACGGCCGGCACATTCGAGTTGCTTCTCAAAATGCGAAAAGCGGACAGACCGGGTGTCAGTCTAAGCCAAATCAAGCTGCCGCGCCTCATTCCCGATGCGAGCGTTCTTCAGTTTCTTCTGCGTCGCCTAGCAACAAGCGACTGCAATAACAACACCAAGACGAGCCGATGTCGTTAACCATACCCACTGAGGAGTAACGTTACGGCGGAATATTTGGCCCAAGGATAGAGAACATGGGTCCCAATAAAACCAATGTGCCTAAACCTAACCCTAATCCTAACCCTAACCATAACCCTAACCTATTTAGTATTATATTGATGTAATATTATATTTATATTGATGTAAATTACATTGGTTTTATTGGGACCCATGTTCTCTATCCTTGGGCCGAATATTTTGCCATTTTTTCGCCATAAAATCTACCCAATATCCCTACCGCGCGCACAAACGGTGTGCACTATGTACGTTACATGATGGTTTAGCAATGGTTTATAGCATGGATTAGTAGAATCAGGAGCCTTTCGACTTTCCATAGAATGTTTCATAATCACGTGCACCACAATGCGTGTACGATTGTAGAATATCGCTGCAACATGTCTGTGTGCAGTGTTAGTGTTAAGATGGTGGGGGAAATTAGGATTAGCGTTTTTGTTATGCCTATAATTAACATTAGGGTTGCATTCGTGGTTAGCGTTAGTGTTTCGGCTATGCCAGCTGCTTATATTGGGGCGCGAGTTTCAGTTAGGTCCATAGATGCGTTGTAAGTGATTCAATTTAAATTGATTTGACGATTCCCACTGCCAATTGCGCATGCTTCCGACTGATGCATGCGAGTGCGAGGCGTTTGCTACGTTGTTTAGTAGAATAGTACATATATAATAAATATTATATTTAAAATAGTTGCGGATGACTTCTTCTCTCATGCTCGCATCCGCCTCAATTTACTACTTTCCCCCTTTATCTCATCCTCCCTTCCTCCTCCTCCATTGTTACCTCATATTTTCTCTTTGTTATAACAAGCCGAGGTAATTACTATTTGTGGCGAATTTTCCTGTGACAAATTTTTCGTGAGACCAATTTTCCTGTGACTGGTTTTCCAGCCTTTGAGTTGTACCCTTGCCTGGTTGGTTTGATTATTTTATTAACACCGACTCCTAGCTCTTTTGCCCTCATCACATATTAATTTACTATCAGTGATGGCATATAAATAGTCTCATAATTGTTTTGCTATGAAAAAAGTGCATGTTACTTTATCGTCATTTATCACGTTATATATTGTGGTTTGCTTTTTGCAACAGCAATTTGCCTAGGCACACGTTCTGTTTGGCCAAATTCCCTGCCAAAAAAAGAACTATTACAGACTATTATAACTATTATTATAATAAAATTATTATCATTATTATTATTACAATTATTATAAACATGTTCATATTTATTACCTACATAACTAAATACTATGAAGAGCTGATATCTCAGTATTATTAGCTCTTGGTATTATCAGAAGTAGATAATAGGTCTACTTCTGGTAATATAAACGTAAGGTTATTGCAGATTGTTACTAGCTATAGGAGGCATACAACAGTAAGCCTCCGCTATTTGGTCTCCAGAAAAGACCTTTTTTGGCTTTTTTTCGGTGAAATTCGTCACTAGAGTACACTCTTTTGCATTATGCACGCAAGTAAGATGTCTCGTGGACGTCTAGAAAGCATTATAAGTAAAATTGGCCTTGTCGTGTAGCTGTGAGATTCCATCAAGTAGCGTAGCCATGGTGACCGGTTGGTCATTTTTGTGTTTGAAATGTGATCAGACTACTTTGCAGAAATTCGCATCATAGAGCTGGCAAAATTTTCAAGCGGAGCATAGAGCATGAATCTGTAGTTATTTAACATGAATAATATAAAGTGTATGTTACGTATGCAACGAAACAGTGCGAGTATTTTGAATTAATTTCTATTCGATGCTTATTCAGGCCTGCTGCCTATGGACGCCTTCTACTGTTGTACAACACCTATAATCAGTTTAGTGCAAACCATGACCAAATGATAAAAATTTCTAACATTACAATTCAATTGATATATTATTATACTATGTCATTTAATATTTTACCTGACGATGTGCACAAATATATGACGGTAACTCTATAATGAAATACTAGCCCTAACTGCAAACATGTGATCCATAATAAGGGTGAATAATAATTGAAGACTATACTACCTATTGATCATCTACACCTAAAACTGCATGTGCATCAATGTTTCCTATGACAAAGATTTCGATATTCTGAGTGTAACATTTACATCATATGATAAAACAATACAAAATAGTAACTAAACAGAAATGACGTCATGAAGTGGGTGAATGTTCAAATCACAAGCATAGTTAACTGCCTTTTATGACTAATAAAATCCTAACAATGGATTCCTGCATATATAATATTATTAACATAGTTTCTGCACTACAACATAACAATTAACTACCTCTGATTTGAAAAGAAAAACAAAACAAAAAACAAAACTATAACAAACCCAAATGCTATAGCTAAGAACACCAATTTGAAACAAGATCGAGTATAGGCCTACAAAATATAAAACTGATATATGATATCAGCCCATTCAGACCCTCAATGCTTTCACACGGCTGTCTTCAATGCTGATCCCTCTTCTGGGAGCTGACGAAACTGATAGCATCAGAGAATTCCCTCAGTTTGCAAGCTTGGCAGGTGGGGCATACCTCCACGTCCATGAGGTGAATGATGGTTGGGTGCACCATACAGCGGATTCTCGCTCGACCTTGAAATATGAAGCCACAGCTAGTACAGATGATGTTCTTTATTTCACGGTTGCAGATGCAGTCAGGCTGGAATAGTTACAAAACCGATCGTCAAAAACACACGTAAGCAGAAAACTAAAAATAAGCTAGGTGACACCTGTTTATGTAGGTATACTGCTGTTTGCCAGAACCAATGCTGCAGGACAATCATATAGGTAAATGGTATGATAGCATTCACAAAGGCACAACTGCAGTCTTGTGACACGCTATAGAGAATCGCAGAATCAACACAGCGTGCTCTTGGGTAGACAGAACTAGCACTAACTATGGCAAACAACACTCATTATGTCACTCAATCACTTAACACCTAAGTAGGCACCCACAACCTAGGACAATAGCTACATGTTCAGGACCATTCCAGCAGCCAAACCTCATATTTGTGAATCAATGTAACCTTTGGAATATTATTTGAAGAAGAGAAGGTTGATTGCATAAATACTAACAAAAAAATGATTTTCATGTGTTTGGTGCGGTGCGACTGTTTTCCAAGACTATAGTGTAAGTACTCTTTACGTATACTTTGTTATTTAGACCTAATTGCAAGTCATTTTAGGTAAATAATTACTTTGATCATTGAGCTTTAGCCACTACAATTCCCTGGCCCCGCCAATTTTGACTAAGTTGCAACCAAACAGTAATTTTTTTTCCATACGAAGGCAGTAATCTGACATGTGATATAATATGTTAACTGCTTAATGTAAATTGTATTTTTACACATCATGCTTTTACATTTTGTTACTTTCTACAGAACAAGCTAGGCTACAGCACAGGCACCTATATCTAAATCCCCCAATGCGAGCACCGAAGGTGGGAGTCTCACACCTTCGGTGCTCGCATTGGGGGATTTAGATATAGGTGCCTGTGGGCTACAGGTGGCTAGCTCTAGTACTATAGCTCGCGGATAGCTGCCGCAGGTGCCGCCTGTGGCAGCTATCCGCGGGCTATATAGTACTAGAGCTACAGGTGGCTAGCTGTCACCTACACTATTCACTAACCTAGCTGTTGCGTAATAATGAAGTAAGACGACTGACGAAGTTCAGACGAAACAAACCACACGGTAGTCTAGAGCCATGATATACATACTTCATCGGGGCCCGGGATATGCTGCTCCTTCGGCGAGAGACTTCCTTCGAAAATCTTGTCACGTCGAGTAATGCTACGACTAGTACTACTAGTGACAGTCGACATGCTTCTTTACGAGGGTGTGGTGCGGGCGCCTTGGTCCGGGGTGCGTCTACAATAAGAACGTCTCAACTCAACACTCAGCACACGCTACTGACGCTCCGACGCTCAGACTGCGCTCAGTCACCTTTCGCGTGTTTTGCGCGTGTGGTAACAAGAGGTCAGAGGTGACGCCGATGTGTACTTTATGGAGCACATCGTTACACACTCATTTCTATAATTTTGACATCGAGCCTATGCAGTCAAATAAAATTATCGACATTATATATTACTGACGTTATTTTGTAACGGAAAAAGAATTTTTTTTTGTAAAAATTATTCATCGTCATCGTCGTTCGTTGGGTGTCTAAATTCAAGCCGGTACGGGAGATTACGGTACGCATATATTTGCTAATATATTGACTAATAGTTATATAGTACTATTATATACGACTATAGTACTAGTACTAGGTTGGGGGGTTGTGTTCTCCGATCATATAAAACTGGGCTTATTCATGAGATGATGAGCAAATGCGTTCGCAGCAATGTGTGCGTCCGGGAAGGACGGTGTGTTGAATGGCATGTTTAGGTATATATTTGGTAAAACTGGGATGCATTAATTGCTAATGCAAAACTGATCATAATAATAAACGTACTGAGAGGAGGGAATTAAGCCAACCGCATATAGTAAAGCCGCAGCAACCGAAGCAAGCAACCGCACTATCTTACATCCCGTCAACTTTCCACGCCGCCATCTCTCTTTTCCCTTCTCTCCCTCTTCTCTCGCTCTCTTTCTCTCTCTCTCTCTCTCTCTCTCTCTCTCTCTCTCTCTCTCTCTCTCTCTCGCTTCGGCCCTCTCTCGCCTTCGCTCTGTTTCCTCCCGCCCTCTCCTCCTCTCTCACTCTCTCTCCTCCCTCTCTTCCCCTCCCCACTTCCAGGCCGGACTGCGATCGGAGAGCACTGGGAGTTTTCCCGGTGGCCTGCCAAATATTTTTTTGATAAAGCTGCGGCCTGCAGGCCATATATATGGATATATATAAGTCTGGATGCTTGAGTCCTATACTGTCGGTAGAGGCTACATGCATTAAGTCTGCGAGAGCGTAATAATTTAGTCTGTAGATAATGAAAGACAATACATCCCTTTAGCTGTACCCGAGTTTCACGCTACGCGATCATACAGACAGACTTTAATGAAGAATAAACCTTTATATACATACTATGACCTATATATACATAAATGGCGCTAATTGTTTTTAGTTATTATTGTTATGTAGTTCTATAGCTCTAGTAACTCATAGCCGGCGTCGTACGACCGCGACCGTACGCGCGCGGGGCCATAGTTACGCGAGCTAGATATAGTAGGATCTAATAGTTTTATAGTAATCGATCTATTGTTCTGCTGCGTTCTATTATTGATCGGCGTTTTGTGTTTGTTTCTAATCTTACTGCCGCCATTTAATTATCTGATCCGATCTAATAATAAAAAAAACATTCAACAGCAGTTTCCTAAGACTTATAACAGGGGTAAGGATAATATATATATATAGTTATATTTATTATATTATTATATATATATTATGATACACATATATATATATATAATATATATATATATAATACATACATACACATATACACACACATACATACATACACCACATAATATTATATATATATATATATATATATATATATAAATGACTTGTACAAACATTGTCTGAACTCGTCAGCACTGGTCTCATAACTATACTCTAACGAGTAGACAGACTTCATCTATCGTATCCGTGCCACGAAAATTCTCTCCTACTCTCCGTAAATAGCGTCACATTAAGCCCCCGTCCCGTCCGCAAATTAACAACAACTATGCACTGCGCGCGCGCGCGTAAAAGTGTCGCGCGAGAAAACGCGTTAGTTTACGTCACACGCTGCAGCACTCCGCCGCCGCCGCCGACGCTGCCGCGGATAGGATGCTGCCGTACCGTGACCCCCTTCCACGTGGGTGACTCTCCCTGTCAGCTCTTTCTCTGTCGTGGCTGTACGTGCGGCGGTGGTCGTCACTCACCGCGCGTCGCTGTCCGGTGATGATCTGGCCGTCGTCCATCGTCAGACGCGAGCGCAAGTCGTTGTCGACGCCGTTGTCCGTAGCAACGGTGACCACCGCAGCGGCGGCGGCAGTTGTGACGTTTCTCGCTGGGGTCGAGACTGAGGATCTACAACAGTGTCCGAGCACGCAAGTCGAGGCGACGGACTCACCTGTGGTAGCGTGGGTCGGATGTTAAATCGCTGAGGATTCTCCAACTTCTCCTGTGCTTTTCGTGTTCATTAAGTAATATTTGTTCTCGTGTCGGCACTTCGAAATTAGTTCAGATCTTTTGTTAAGAAGCCTGGCTTTGTCAGCTTTAGTAATGTAAAGTTTTTCTGCTAAACAGAGAATGCATATTTTGGAGATGTTGTTGTATGGGCTTGCTGAAGTGATGATTGACCAGTTGATTGTATAATTTTTCTTGTCGTCTTTGAGTTTCCAGATGTGCTTTGAGAGTTCAGTGCTGTTAGCGTATTTTCTGTTTCGAAATGATAGCTTGTGTTTAGTGTGTTGTTGTTTAAATGTTCCCTTTGTAAGTCCGATGTAGTTCTTTCCTATGGTGTCTTCATCTGTAGTTAAGCGTGCGTTGTAGACTAGGCTGGTTGCATGAGAGGCAGTTATTGTCGAGTGGACATTGTTCTTTTTTTCGGCAGTTGCATACGTTCTGGGAAGGGGTGGGGTTAGCGCTGGTTATTTTCTTGTTGTGCTTGTTAATTATGGTTGCTATATTTTCCGTGCAGCTGTAACTGACTTTTACGTTGTTCTTGTTGAAGAGTGGAATTTGTGTTCTTTGTGGAAATGCTTCTGGATGAGGTTGAGGAAGGTTTTGCCGATATTAGTTTGGACGTTTTGGCCGTATGGAGGGTTAAACCAGATTATGTTCCTTTTTCTGTTCTTTCTTGCCGGTGCAGATGTGTTGCGGCTGGCGTATGTAAGGTTTTCGGTAAATCCGCTTGTTTTTAGAACTTTTTCGTAGGGAGGCTAAAACCCAACGCACACAACCGAGCAGAACACCTAAACGTGGAGCAAAACATGTTTCGCTCGATGTTCGTGGCTGTGTGCGGATTCCCGAAAAAAGAAACATTGCTCAGCTGAGCGTGTTTCGCTGAACAAGCAATGTTTGATTCGCGGAGCGTGTTTTCGCCTGAGCGTACGTTTAGCTCGGGTGTGTGCGTCAATTGTTCTGCTACACAGCGAAACGCCACAGACGGTCTCCAATCAATATCCTTAAAAATATCACATGGCACACAAAAATTGGATGTCCATTGGATGGCTATTTTTGATGTCATGGGACAGCGGCGCTATACGCAGTGTTTCTGTATGTTTTGCTCAGCTGTGTGCGCTTGCTCGCCGAGCAGAACGCGAAACGCTGGAAAACAAAATTTTGCGTTTTGCTCGGGTGTGTGCGTTGTGCTTTATAGCTTTGTCAAATGCTTCTTTGCTGCACGAAATGTCTGATATCCTACGGTTGATGACTGCGGGTAGTTGTTTAATTATGGTAGGTGGGTGATTGGATTTCGTATTGATATAGAGTGGCTCGCAGAGGCGCCGGAAGTGGGGGGCGGGGGGGGGGCGGCCGCCCC